ACCCTCGCCGGTTCCATCCTCGTGCTTATATCCGCGACCACTGACAGTTAGCTGACCTTCTGTATTGATGCTTATGTTCTCGGCTAGGATTCGTAGATCACTGCCTTCCACTTTGCCACCACCCTCAATGTGAAGCACTCGTACGGTCAAATTCATCCCGTTGTGTGTCACAGGTGACGACATCATCTGAATGACTCCTTCAAACTGTACACGCAGAAAGTCGAACTTGAAATCATTTTCCGTCGCCTCGTTTCCAGTGCGTGAGTTTTCATTCAACGCTAACAGGCCACCATGATGCAAAGTTAGGTTCTTTACGTACGAAATTACACCGTCCACGTGAATCTCGACTCCGTGAACTTCTGTCGCTGGAGCAAGACCTAGAAATCCGCCTCGGTATACACGAACATTAAACGGTAAATCAATAGTCGGTCGGATCAAATCCATGGTCTGATTATAGCCAACGTGGATGGTCCCAGTGCGATCACCGATCATATTTCGGAAATATATCGTCGCCGATCGGTTATGAGGCTCGGTTAACACAGCTAAGTGAGCTGCACCATAAATCTGCAATTCCTCAAAGTAATAATTTTGATTGCGCGAAAAATTATGTTCTCCAGAGCTAGGTAGAAGCCAAGTTTTTCCCGATATCAAGGCTGGCTCAGAATAGTCTTTAATGACCAAATGTTCAGTAGGTAACGCCTTTCTCCCGGCATTACTTATCAGAAGAGTGCGATGTTTATGAATAAGGTGATATAGGAACACAGTGCCAGCTCCTCCAGGGAGAGCGTCTCCGGTAGAATCTCCTCCCAGGGATTCAAAAACCCCACTGTAAGTTCTGTTACTTCTGAAGTATACTGCTATCCGTCCGCCTGCTCCCCCACCGCCATGAAGTGAATGGCTGAAAAACAGAATAATTATACTGAATATTGATACAAAGTGCATTTTTAACAGTTGTCAATAACCCTGGAAATTCACCTTAAAACTTCAGCATAAAGGTTGACAGCGTATAGAAATTAAAAGAGCCTGTGTGAGTTATTTAAGAATGCGCCCTAAGCGTTTTAAGCTAATTTTTCACTTTGAAAATGAATTTGAGGTCAAAATGATAATTGGAATTGATTTGTTTGCTTGTATGTCTGTTTCCTTTTTGAGAAGATGTATCAACACTGTCGTAAAACAGAACACTCATCAAATCAATTTGAACTTATCTTGGGTAACACAGTTCAAAATAATTTGAGGAAACCAAGGAATCTAGACTGCAGGTTGGTCTATGAACCAAAGTGACTGGATTAAAAAAAGTAACGATGGTTTAAAGGGCAATGTTTTATGTCCCCTTCAAAGAAAATCATCCCACAGTTAAGCAACACTGAAGGGTTCTTACCTTGTTTCCACATGGCCGCTACCTCCATTAGCCTGTACTGTACCGTATCCCTTCATCAGACTGGTGTCAATCCATATACTTCCTCCACTTCCTCCACCAGATCGAGACTGCTGACCATTATCACCGTTGCAGCTAATTGTTCCGTCAATTTGCAAAGTCCCTCTCACAGACATACGAATTATCCCTCCACCCAGTCCCCCCGAGCCTCCGCCTCGACATCCAAAGTGTTCAGGTTCGTACACGTGACCGTATGCCACTCCAACACGTGTTCCATACCTTCCAAGGCCTCCAGTTCCACCATGCCCTGCACCTGAAGACCCACCATTAGAATTTGTGACACCTGTACCGCTAGTGCAGCTAAAACGGAAAGAAAACAGCGTTCACTGAAGTTTCCGCAGAGTAACTAAAACCATAAATTTATCATCAACACTACTGAGTGAAATTAATGCCTCTGTAACCAAATCTCAAATGAAAAGGGCCGTTGAGCTAACTGATCTTTAACACATTGAGAACTCGTTGTGACGAATCTCTCGGTCTCACGTATGTCGTTCAACAATACATTCTGACACAAGCTGCATGAAAACCTCACCGAACAAGTTATAGTGAGAAACAGTAGAGGGATATTATGGGAACGATCGAGTTTAAACAACAAATAACCTCTTATAAATTATCGACGTCCTCAAAATCCAGGTGAACTACGAAAACTCCTTATGTTAAGACACAGAAGCTATGGAAGTGCCCCATTCAACAAACCTGTTATCAAACGTGTCACCCCTTAAGTGACCCAGATCATCCACAGTGAAGTTTCCGACAAATATACGCATGCGCACCATGTGGAGCACTCCACCTCCTCGAATTGTGATATCATCCACGTCGAGTGTCAGTGAGTTGTTTCCGACATCTGATGTTGATGTCACCTCTCCCCCATCAGCAACCGTCAGGGAATTGTATCTGTAAGTTCCCTCACTGTTTGCCAGCTCTGTAGAACCTGTTAGAGCCAGGAAGAGTCGACAGCTTTTGGCGATAGTCATGTCTTCAATGCCCAAGTAACCTCTGCAAGAAAGAGAAGACAAAGTCTACATGACCATTAAGACGTTCGAAGAAAAAGCAGTGCTTTCCAAAGCATGTGCGGTTGTTAAGCTTTGTATTTTTATCTTAATAAAGATTAAAGTAACAGCGATATCTCTACGGTCTTTCAATTGAAGTAAAGACTGCATGCATTATTAAGCTAACTTACGCACGCATTTTGATTGGTCCTTACTTTTGATCTATTTGAGGATAGACGTACAAATGACGTCATCATTGACAACATTTGCTTCTTACGAACAAGTCTGTAAGAATCAAACATCTTGGGAAATGAAAATTTTCCACCCCCTTCAAATTTTGCATGCAGTTAGGCGCTCAAGGGGGATGCACAAAAATTCCCCTTTTTTAAGGTCGCAGCACTCTTGTTGCCATGGTAACAACGGCTGCTTGTTCGTGGGCTAAGGTCTCATTTTCATGCATGGAAAAGATGACAACCAGAGGCGAGATTTCTCTTCGGGATATTGCTCATAAGATAACATTTCTTTCAAAGCCTCGCACGTTTATTTGTCTGAAACGTTTGTCATTGAGAACTTTAGATGTAAACATCGCCAAATTATGCAATATCTGATTTTGAGCTTTTTTCGCGAATTGCCCCTATAAAAAGTAGAGGCAGGCCCGCAGAGATTTTTACATATTTAAAAACAAGAATATTATAACCAGCTTGGTGGGTAGTTTCAGTTCCAGAATCGGTGTACTTTTGGAGAAATTCAGATAAACGTTTTCGCTGTTTTACCCGACAACGAAAATGACCGAAATTGTACCGAGATGAATAATCTATTGGTGAGTTCACATTCACTCCCAGGGAAAATTAAATGTATTAAAGTGAAGACGAATGATTTCACTATGTATGGTAGAAGTGCCAATTTGTAATGTTGTATTTAGCTTGAGATAGAGAAATAAACATTTAACTCTTTTTTTGCGACGTTTTTGTATGATAATGAGGCCCCAGGCCTCGAACAAGCAGCCGTTGTTACCATGGCAACAAGAGTGCTACAACCTTTAAAAAGGGTATTTTTGTGCATTCCCCCCTGAGCGCCTAACTGCATGCAAAATTTGAAGGGGGATTGAAAATTTTCATTTCCCAAGATGTTTGATTCTTACAGAGACTTGTGCTTAATTATATAAAATAAATTTATTGCACGTTGCTGTATGTCTGTTCAGTAATAAATCACAGATGACGTCAAAATGTGGTAACAACATCAGTAACACACTTGGCTGCGCCTCGTGAGCTACCTTTTTGTTCTTACCACATTTTGACTTCATCTGTGATCTATTATTGCACAGATGCATAGTAACATGGAATCTATTTCTTAACCCCTTATTCCTTAACATCAGTATGCATATTCTCCATACTACTCCCAATACATTTCCTAGGGTTATGACAAGGAGAATTTGTTTAACAATCAAGAGCTTCTTTAGTTGGTGATCATCTCCTTTATTCTCATGACCTTAATGTTTGATTCAAGAATGATGTTGTAAGGAGAAATTAGATGTTCGTCACTCTCACAGGTTAAAGGGTTAAGCATGCAATATTTCAGGCCTTAATGAAAATAACTGAAATAAAGGAGGTATTCCTCTTAAATGCTTCAGTAAAAGGGGGACGTTAGTACCTGCACTTGGAAAGATTTAGGGCCACAAACTATTAAAAGACATTCTATTTTGGAATGGGCTGTATTCATTTTAGGGTATGGCGACAGTAAAGCTTATGGAGATTGAATACCAAATCGCACATCCATAGAATACCATATAAAAACCTTAATACAATGTATCTCTTTTAACCATCGTTACCATGTTGAAAGATTATCACCAATACTTTCTTTTTAAGCCCCGTGGTTTCTGCAGGACCCCTTGCTATCTATTAAAATATTGTTTTTAACAAGCATTGTAAACCAACTTATTTGGAAATGTAAAACACCTTTCTCTTTATGAATGGCCAATGAAATTTGTATTTTATTGTATTCTCTAACCTGACAGTGATATCGATACCGTAACACGCGAAAGTTGGTGGCAGGTGGAAGTGTCCGTCTCTGTAAACAAAGACATTTACTTCAAACAACTCGTGATCAGCAAACTGACCAATCACAACCTGGTTTGGACCCACGTGAAGAACTCCTGTGCGATCACCCACAAAGCTGTAAACCTTCAATCCATGGGGTCTGTGGAAAAAGATGATTTCCCATAAAAAATTGAACACAATTCTCACGGTCGCACTTCCCCTAATATTGAGTTCAACTAAATCTGCTATGTTACTCTTTGAGGAAATGCACGTAACCAATGCATGACGCACAGTTGTATACCCAGTTACTGAGTTACAACTCAAAAAGCGAAACAACACCCATTCCTTTCGTGTTAAACTGTCATTAACTGTCAGAAAAAATTCCCGAAAAAATGGAGCAGGAAGTCGATCGCTGCTTTGCAACTTGGTTCTTCTAATTACCTATCTCCAAGTAAAAGAGGTAAAAACCAAAAAATGAAACCAAGAAGGAAATTTACGACCAAATCTTAACGATTAATAATAAAAAAAACTTTGTTACTGTTACCTGGTTATATTAGGGTGGAGAGCTACGTGAGCCCTCCTCAATATATGCACCTCTTCCAGCTCAAACTCCTGATCTATTGGTAGTATCCATGCTCTTCCACCATTCGTGTAGGGTGATGAATAATCTGATATCTCCATGGCACTTGGACTCAGGTTATTATTATCGAAGATCAGAGTCCTGTTGTTCACACCATGTTGAGTATCCTGACGTGAGACAAAAAAAACCAAGGTAAGTCTAAGAACGTATCTAGGATAACAACACATAGTTCCCTCTGAATATAAAATTTTTCTTACCACAAGATACACTGTGCCTGCTCCGCCATTTCCACCTTGAGAAGAGCTACCACCGAATGCAGTCAAGGACCCGCGCCACCATTCCCTGTCCTGCCAGTAGATAGCCATCCTTCCTCCTGCTCCACCACCCCCATTACCATTACCAGCACCACCGTTGACAGCTATGACTCCTGAGCCTTCAAGGGCACGAGTACGGATCAGGATACTTCCTCCACTGCCTCCACCTGAGTTAGAACTTACTCCCTGGCTTCCACTTACAGTTATGGTTCCTAACAGAGAATAACTTTCGTAGTGTAACGTTGATCGCTATGACTTATGAGGTTAGCTTGGGGACAAGAACATCCATAAACGATTTTCAACTTAAATCATAGTCATATATGAATAGGGATACAAACAGCAAAGCAAACGCCCATTTTGAACCTAGTGGCTCACAGCTGGTGGACCCCCTGGAGTGACAATATCGATAGCACTGGAACTTCCTGGAACCGTTTTTCAGCGTTTGTTATCCTGCAAGTTAACAGAATGCTAGGTTTATTTCGACTTACCCTCCACCACTAAGGTATCAACTATCTTTAGCAGCAGTGCTCCACCTCCAAAGCCAGCATTTGAGCCCAGTCCACCACCGCTTCCAAAAAGTCGAGGATTGGTGTAATCACCGTACGGTATACCTGTTGTCGTGGTCACTCTCCCGTTTCCGCCAGTGCCTCCATGACCTGCTCCTGATCCGTCTGACGATCCGGAACCAGAGCCAGAACCTTTATAGTTCGGGATGTGTGATTAGGCGGAGTATCTGATTTGCAAACACTAAAAGCTGACTGACTAATTACACTGACTAATTGACTGGCTGATTGACAGGGCCAACAAACAAACAGACAAATAGACTTAGGGAAATTCAGACAAACATACTGAAAGACAGATAGACAGACAGACCAACAAACGGACAGACGGATAGAGATACAGATAGACAGACCGACAAACAAACAAAAAACAGGGACAGACCGAATAACAGGGTAATTCAGTATTATCAACTGAGTTGATAATACTGGCCACCGTAAAGAGTTTCAAAGCTCACGTTTAGAGCGTTAGCCCTTCGTTAGAGCGAATGTAAGGGCTACTGCTCGAAACGTGAGCTTTTAAACTCTTTACGGTATTCAATTTACGTTACCAATCGGTTGATCATATTAAATCACCCTGTTATACTCTCCCACCGAACCGACGCAGCACCACTGTTTCTCTAGAAACTTACCCCCTTTAGACCGAAAAACAGATAGAAAAACGAGCGGACGGACAGGAAAGCTGACAGACCGACTGAATGACTGAATGACCAATTGACGGACGAAAGGATGAACGGACTGACTGACTTTCCCACTCACTTACTTACTGACTAGACAAACAGCCTGATTAAGGAACTAACTGTCGAGCCGGCTGGCTGGCTGGCTATCCGACTCACTGACTCATTGACTGACTAATGGACTTCCTAACTGATTATTTAACTAACAGATTCAAAACTTAAAAGCTTACCAGCAAAGTACCCCTTTCCATCAAGTGTCAATTTTCCTCGTGGATCTACTATCAGTGACGCAGCTTTAATTGTCAAAGCTCGCGCTTCAATTAATCCATCACCCTCTATAGTCACAATACCATCACGATACACTGGTCCATTATCTTTTGCAACCTCTACGGTCCAGCCATCGGCCTCGACTGACATATTGCTCTTAAACAAAAGCCGACTGGTCTTCTGCACGGTTATTCCAACAAAATTTAAATTACGTGGACAGGAGTTCTCAAAGGAAACCGTTGCTCCGTAGGCCACCATAAGATGTGCTTTAAACCCCAACACACTTCCCCAAAAGCTTATGTGGGAGCTTCGTTCTATATTCGGATAAAGTAAACTTTCGGCCTTTCGGATTTCGACAGTTCCGTTTGGTAAAACAAACGTCGCGTCCTCATAAATAAATGGCGCCCAAGTGACGTTGATGCGTCTGTATTCCGACGTTCCCGTCACGTTTAGGGTGTTAAAAGGAGGCACATGTATGTATCCGGTGTCATCTCCATTTATGGTATCGACGCGCACTTCAGTTCCCGCGCGCGGGAAAACCAGCTGGCCCCCGCCATAGACTTCAACCAGCGTAAAATCATAAACAAAATTATCCGAAGGTGGTTTGAGATAAGCGACAGCACCTAATGGAAATAACATTTCAAAGATCATAGAATTTTAAGTAAGATATCTCGACTTCCGACTTTAAAATACATTTATACTTTTGTGGCCTCATCCCTCGAAATTTAGATAGATATTTAGTTTTAAAATCAATTTACTTGTACGAAAAACCATCTTTGACTTCGTTTCAACCTAGACGGTGACTTGAGAAATATTCATAATGAAATAAGCAAGTAACAAACCTGAATATATGAATGTACTGTAATCTCCCGAAAGTGAAGTCTGCAACGCAAAGGAAAAGTAAAAGAAAATAAAAACCTTCTTAAGACATTGCTATTCTCGGTGAAGAGAGATGGATTGTTTTAGACATCACTACTGATCACACAGTCAAGACTACAAAGTACGATCAAAGGCCACTTTCCCGTTGTAAAACTGACAGCCACGTCTTTATGTAGCGCTGACCCGGTAGTATTCGAATTCCAGACATTTTGCGAAAATACCAATCTTATTCTGGATTGAGTATTCATTTTTACGTCTTGAACATTATAAAACCAGCAGTTCCTAGGAAAGAATAACTAAAAAGCTCCAAATGATAATTGATTTCTTTAAAGCGAAACATTTTGAAGTATTTGGAATATCTATCTTCTTGCCTTTCCTCGGGATAAGAGCTAAAATACAACTTTTAGAAATTTTCAGGTATTGAAAAAATAAAAGGAAGCTCTCACCAGTGGCTTTAGTCCTTTGTTGTCAATGCGCAGGTTTTTTATAATGGGTGATTTCCCATCCAAGTATATGACTCCAGGTCCTCCGTGTTCAACATTACTCCCAGAACCAGCCTGTCCCCCAGAGGCATCCGTACCGTCGCTATGGAAACCACCAGTGACGTAATTTACCGTGATTCTTCCCCCAGCACCACCACCGCCATAAGTGTTTCCATTACCCCCTTTGGCCTCGATTTTACCGCTTCCGGTAAATTGTTGACAAGTTGCCCACAGAGACCCACCACTTCCGCCGCCACTCGTGGAAGTCTAAAAGATAGAAGGGAAGAATGTTCATTGACAATGGTCCAAGAACATCTTTTTAGTATTCAAATTACATCACACAATGTTTTATATCACTCATATCAGCTAATATTCCGTAACGAAACTACATAGGCTGACCACGAATGAACACACAAAACTGTTTGATATGTTAAAAACGTTGACATCAAGTAAATTGCTGTTTTCTTTGCAATTTAAAAGTCTTGTTTGGTCCAATGAAATGCCACGTAAAACAAACTTTAATTTGTTGAAACCCTTAGGTTTACGAAGGAGAAGTGATTGGCAAGGTTAATTTACTTGTAGGGTAAATGAAAAGAACCTAAATCGGCTTACCTGTCCAGGAAGTCCATTCATCTGGATCACGCCGTTGACATCAAATGTCTGGTTGATTTGAAGAAATATCACTCCACCTCCTCGTCCTCCGCCACTGTTCCCACTGCCATTACCACCTCCACTTCCCCACCCTCCTGGTGAGAAAATGTCACCATAGATCAGCTGCTGAGCTAGTGTCTGCGACCCACGTCCCCCTCGTCCACCGTGACTCGCCCCAGAGGCTCCGCCATCTTTCTGAGAACCGGCTCCAGGTCCCATTCCTCCTTGAGCACCGCCACCGTTCACAGAAATGCGCCCCGATGATCCAACGCTAAGGTTATCAGTAATGAGGTACAGCGAGCCAAGCTTGAAAAGACCGTTTACTTCCAAAGTGGTCACGTACAAAGTAGAATTGATGGCACCATCGACAGTTATGGAAGGTTGGGCTTGAAAGTGAATGTTTACTTCTCCTGCTGATTCGATGGTGAAATTGTCGCTAGTTAGCGGAGCACTTGGACCGATCGCTGATCCGGTGTCGATTAATCCGCTGACCCGTATCTGATTGATGTTCAGGGGCTCTGAGGTCTCGAAATAGAATTTTCCATTTGTGCCATTTACGTGTAGATCATTCCATACCGAGCCTATTGACAAGTTCCCGACCCGCAGGGTTCCTGACAGTAGGACATACTCGCAGAGAATTGTTGTAAGGTCAGCTGAATCGATAAGTACTGTACCATGGAATCCAACTTCGCATTGTTGGACTTTCTGCTGGGATAAACCTTCCATTTCTACGGCATTTAAAGACTTGACATCGCCGTCAAGGAGAAACTTGTTGAGCTGAAAAATATCAACCGGGTCAAAGTGAAATTTACCTCCGTGTTCCACGGTCAGTTCTTTCCATCCTGGTTCAATTTTCAACTTGTTTGGCAACCAAGTTCCATCAACAACAACAATGTCAGCATGAACGAGGGACACTCCGTTTAGTGACAGTCTACCATGGGAGCCAAACTCGTGTGAGTTGTTGTGCACAAACACCAAAGAGTTCGAACTAAGGGGCAAGTCAAACTGCACACTTCCATACTCGTCAACTTCGATTAATTGAGTAACCGCGGGATCTCTCCCTCTTAGGTAAACGACTCCTTCTACGTGGAAGTTCCCGTTCGAGTAAAATGTGTTTATTCTAACGTCACCATGAGGGAAAAAGCTCATATCACCGTATCTTTCAATCCTGAGAGTTTTCCAACCTTCTAAAAGGGAAAGAACTCCTGGATAAAAGGTGCCACGTATAGAGACGCCGTTCATGGAAATGTACGAAACTGAGCTGTTACCGTTTATTTTCAGAGCAGAGTTGAGCCCAATGTTCATTTGATCGCCTGTTAGATTAAACGGACATTCGACGTCCATTTTGGAATTATCGCTTAAGGTGAATTTGGAGGATGTTAGAGCCACAGACCAGCGACAGGAGGCCGGAGACTGTTTATCGTAGTTCAACAGCTGGAGATGACCTGAAGACTCGATAATGAGTTCTCCAAAGCTAAGCGAACTTGGGCCAGAACCTGGATGCATTGTAAACACTCCCTTTTGCGCTCCCACATAGACACTCGGGGCACCAAGAGTGGAAAGCTTACCATGTACATCAACCGAGCGTTCAAGAGAGACGTTTGGTGCTAGGTCGGATAAGATGAGCTCTGCTCCGTGATATATCAGCGTGCAAGGTGACAAAAGTGTGCTAATTTGCAGTTGCATGGATGACAGTAGATACAAGAACCCAGTGTTGTCGTCCGTTATGCTGTCGACGGTTAGGTTTTTAGCTGAGCCTGCGATGACAAGTTGAGCTCCTCCTGAAATTTCCACCTCCTCTATCTTTTGGTCAGCGGAGACTGTAACCCAGGCCGCAGCACCTACCATAGGAATTAAATTACCCAGTTAACGTAGAGCAATCACTTTTTTGTTAATTAAAATTGTTAAAATAAGCTTAGTCTCTCGTGAGCATGGAAGCCCGTCTGGACTACCTCACCCTGAATACCGTTAGGTGTCTACCAGTCCACTCCTGTTAGAAGCCAGCATATCGCTATAACTTTCACTGACGGTTTTCGTCTAGTTTCCCTTCTAGTATTCATTCTAAAATGAACGAAGTTTACCGAAGAGCTAAATTTATCCAGGGGTTAGCTGCGTGATCGAGCACGATGAAGTGAGCCTTACGTTCTGATTGACCAACAGGGCGAGAGATTTGGGCCTTTTTTACCAGCGGGGGATTCAGCTAGCATCTTTTACTTAAGGTTTTTGAAAACGCACAAATCTGAAGAATCTGTATGGCATACATGTATTCCCGGGCTATATAATCCACTTGCTGGTCCTCGCCACCGCATGAATACGGGCTTACTAATACACATGGTATAACCCCCGGTATAATCATGTAGGTTGCGCGAAAATTCCTAAATTCCCCCCCCTGAGAAATCCTCGCTCTGCCTTTTTTTAAGCAAGCCCTTTTCACACGACCGACTGCACTCTGAGAGAGAGCACAAAAGGAAACCATTCCGCGTTTCGTGAATCTTTTTAACTTTTCTTTGGTGTAATCTTCTACCCACTTGATAAATGCGTTATTCATTATTCACCACGCCCACTCGGTCAAAACTGCCTCCTTTATGCAGTCTTCTTTTTCGCTCTCTCAATAACATCGATTACTCATCGATTACTCAAAATGCTGGGGCAGTAACCGGTTATCTCGACCTCCCACCTGGTCATCAAGAAAACGGGATTAAGTTTTACGTTGATTAAGTTTTCATTGGTCGCTGCAACTGGTGGAGCATTTGATAATATGGTACTGCTGTCATGATAACCTCAGGCGAAGTGATAACATTCTAGACCAACGAGGCCATGACAAAGATTAGTTAGGTTACCTGTTTGCAAGAACACGCTGACATCTGATGAACTGTTGATCTGTAAGTAAGCAAATACAGCCTTATTAATGAGCATTCTTTGTATGAATCATAACTTCGAGGACAAGGAATACATCATGAAAAAATACATATCGCAATAAAAAAGATATTGGCAAACTTCGTGAGATAGATATTACACCGTTACAACCATAACTAAGGGTGAAACAAGAAGAGACATCTGGCCATTAAAGTGAAACAGTACTAGTTTCTTTTTCTAGCAGAGAAATCAGTCTTCTAATGGAGCTGTCCCTCACTAACGGTCTGCTAGAATGTGGGGTATCTCGCTTATTTGGTTTCATCTCTTTCTCTATGGGAACGGGGGATCGAATACGCTCTTAGACCTCCTTCAACTGCTATGGCTTATTATGTGCATATATTAGTGTGTTTTTTTTATATTATTTCTTTTCGTTTGTTTTTAGGGACCTGTCGTTATTTATCTCCGGGGGATGGAGTAT